TGTGTGTGTGTGTGTGTGTGTGTGTGTGTGTGTGTCTGTCTGTCTGTGTCTGTCTGTGTCTGTCTGTCTGTCTGTCTCTCTCTCTCTCTCTCTCTCTCTCTCTCTCTCTCTCTCTCTCTCTCTCTCTCTCTCTCTCTCTCTCTCTCTCTCTCTCTCTCTCCTCTATGTATATATATATATATATATATATATATATATATATATATATATATATATATATATATATATATATATATATATATTATGTGTGTAGATGTATGTTTAAATATGTATATGTATGTAATATATATATATATATATATATATATATATATATATATATATATATATATATATAATATATATATGTGTTGTGTGTGTGTGTTTGTGTGTGTGTGTGTTAATATATATGTATATTAATATAAATGCATTAATTTACAGATCTCCTGTTTGTCAAAAAAAAAAAAAAAAGTATCTAAAGTTTTGTATTTGTTTTTCAGCCATGGAAACAAGAAGACTTTTTCCTGCCGGGGCTTGAGAGTGTGTGTGGAGTGGTTCCGTGCGCGTGGCCATACAGGAATCACCGTGTTTGTTCCAAAGTGGAGGAAGGAGGCACCACGATGGGATACGCCCATTCAGGACCAAGAGATTCTTCTGGAACTCGAGCGAGAGAATGTCTTAGTGTTCACACCTTCTAGAGTGTGTGGTGGCAAGCGAATAGTTTCTTATGATGATCGTTACATCCTCAACGAAGCTGTTGCTTCCAGTGGAATTGTTGTCAGCAACGACAATTACCGTGACCTGGCAGCAGAGTCATCCCAGTTCCGACGAGTCATAGAAGAGAGTCTACTCATGTACTCATGGGTTAATGGACGTTTTGTGCCGCCTGATGATCCTCTAGGACGCAATGGCCCCACTCTTGATGCCTTCCTACGGAGGGGACCTGGTGGGGTAGGTTCAACCAGGGACCCACGACAAGCACCATGCCCTTACGGCAGGAAGTGTACCTATGGCAACAAATGCAAATACATGCATCCAGAACGGGGTCCTGCACCTCTGAAGTCAGTGACAGAGAGATTACAAGAACAGGCGCAGCGACACTACCAGAACAAGGCCAAGACTAGAGATTCCTCTCCAGGTAATGACTTGCTTTTAAAGGATTTTTTTTTTTTTGTGTGTGTGTATTTGCAGACTGCCTTCTTTTCAACAAAATGATATATTTTCATATATAATAAATGTAAATTTTCAAAGTGATTTTCAGACACTATTTTTATAGGTTACATCAAATTTAAAGGATGTAAACTTTATTTCCAAAATACTTTTCTGTTGTCAGACATTCCTAATACTAAGCATAATTTCCAGGTGTAGATATCCGTGGCAAAAGTTTATCGTTACCAGTGGGAGTCACAGATGCTGAAGTGCCAAAGAAACCACTGACACGAACCCAGAGTACAGTACCCCCTATGTCTCTCACCCTGCCATCTACCCTTACCCAGGAAACCCCAACTCATGATCTGGGACCTGCCGGTTCAACGTCTGTCGCCTCTCCACACACTCACCATCACCTCATACCACCACAGCATTTGGAGTCTCGTCCTCTAGACCCATTACGATCTTCATTATATAAAAGTGAGACTTCTCTATACCACATGTATCCTTCACAAACTCCTCAAGGCAGTTTTGGGTCCTCTCCTTGGCCATGGAAAGGTCAAGGAGCACCATCTCAAAGCCAGTCTCCTAGCTATGGATCACATATACCTGTAAGCAAACAACTGTCAGACCCCGATCCTGCTGCTTCTGGGAATCCACATAAGAAGTTACAGCGGCAGCTTACTCTAAATCCTACATTTGATTCTCGTCTGTACAAGATGGCTGGTTATAAGGAACCTGCCCCAGAACATTTCCCTATTGTTAGTCCTGTTCAGCAGCAGCAACAGCAGCAGCAACAACAGCAGCAGCAGCAACAAGAACAACAGCAACAGCAGCAACAGCAGTCTGGGAGTCAAGGGTCTCCTAGTAGGTCTGCAGGTCGAGATGAAGCTATTGTATATTCCCAAGCAGGAGCTGGGATGACTGGGCGCATTTCACCAGGATATTCTTCCCCGTATGGTAGTCGAGAACAACTGCAAGCTGTCCACCCTCCTCTTGCTCGTCATTCCTCATCACAGGAAGGTGCGAAACACATGCCAACATTACCACCCCATCTCTATCCTTCATATACTCATCCCCATGTCACACGCTTTGCCTCTGCACCAGATCCTATATGGGGAGGTCAGCAGCAGCAAACCACGCCCGGTCCACCACACATCACACGCCTGAACTCCACATCTGATACAAGGCTGAACGTATATGGCTGCAGTAGTGAATCGCAGCTCTTTTCTGAAGTTCCAGTATTTGATGATCCAATGAACCGCCTAACACAGTTCCACCCAGGCGGGCACCACAGTACTAGTCCTGGACCAGGAGCTGCATCACCAGGGCCAATTGGCTCAAGGCCCATGTCTCCTCAGCATGGCAGTGT